AAAATGAGGACAGTGATTAGATGCTTTTTTTTTTTCAACCAAGCTACATAAGAACAGGCCACATTTTTCTCAGAAACAATTTATATAGAGGTATAGTTCTAATGGCAATGTTCACTGGCACTGCTATACTTTTACAAATGGGTTTTTATTTTCTGTTTGGACTGGTTTATAGGATTATGACTTTTTTTTTCTTGGCTAGCATACTGTGCCTTTAACAGTTAAATCACAAACATGAACTGAACAGTGGCAGTTTTCTTTACTCCCTACACATTAATGGAGCTTTTTCTGTGTCACTTCGCCTGCTAGCAAACCCTTGAATCGTGGGGAGGGAGGATTATGATAGAAGGCATGCTCTGCATACAGAAGGCCCCCAGGCCCAGTTTTTGGCATCTCCAGTGGAAAAGTCCTAGATAACAGGGCTGGGGTACAGGCCCACTTGGTTGTTGGAGTAGACAAAGCTAGATGGACCAGTAATATAACTAGCAAGTAGGTTGGTCTGGTCTTGTCTTGTCTGTCATGGAAATCCAGTGAGAGATTAGGATTCTGGAGCATGTTTTAAGATGCACACAATTTGTGCAGCCCCTGGACCTGTTGGGCCTCCCACTTGACCTGAAAGTGCAACCTTAAAGTGCCCAGTATTCTGTCACAACTGTGTATTGTAAGGAATAGTGGACAAACTATCTTCTTGACACATGATTGGCTATGATTGGTCATCAGTTATCTTCTCTTCGATGAACCCCAGTGGGCTTCCAAGGAACCCCAGGGTCCGCCAGAACACAGAACAAAACCATTCTGTTATTGCAGCTTCCACACATCACCTGTAGGATAGCTGTGTGTTGTGCAGATGTGAAAGGTACAGGAAGCAAGGGGAAAGAACGTGACAACACCGCTTTGTCCATACAACCTGATCCAAGATAATCTCAAGTTTGTTGCCAGGTGTTGTGACGCTGGCCTGAACTTGTCTGCACAAACATGGGGCGTTTCAGCCGTGCCCTTTTGCACAGTCATTTATAGGCCGTTCTCCCTCCCACCCCTGCAAATTCTGCTTCTCCGCAATAAGAGCTGCTTTATTCTAGAGGGGAAGAGGGGCGTGTTGAATACTCTGATCTTGACCTTTAAAACAATTCTAACCTGGTTCCACCTCTGATCCTCCTCTTGAAAATGTAAAACAAGGGAGTTGTGACACACAGGAGATAAGATTTTGTCTACTTTACAGAGCTTTTAGGAGGGAAGGCAGCATGGTGTAGCCCAGTCTGATCGGAAGCCAAGCAGGGTCAGTTCTTGGATGGGAAACCACCAACAAAGACTCTGCAGAGGAAGGCAACGGAAAACGACTTATGCTTCTCACTTTCTTTGAAAGCCCCTTGCTGGGATTGTCATAAGACAGTTGCGACTTGGCAGCACATACGTACATATGGCGCTTTTGGTGATGGAAAGTGCCATCGAGGAGCAGCCAACCTGCGGTGACCTCGTAGGGTTTTCAAGGCGAGAGACATTTGGAGGTGGTATGCCATTGCCTGCCTGTATGCTAGCAGCCCTGGACTTCCGTGGTGGTCTCCCATCTGGGTACTGACCAGGGCCAACCTTGATGAATTTCCGAGATCTGGCTAGCCTGGAGCTTTGGGGCACTCTTAAATCCCTTTCCAAACAAGATCTTTGCAAGCTCGCTTGCAAACCACCGTTTCTACCATCAACCATTTATCTGTGCTGGCTTGTAAACAACTGAGTGCTGAATTAATAACGTAAAACTCAAAGGAACCCTTAACACAATTAAGCAGTAATTTTTTTAAAAGGGTTCTTGACAAAGCTGGGGAATAAGAGGCTAAATCTGGATGCTGTCAGGCAGCAGCAATTTGCGACCTTGCAGGCCAGCGAAAGTGAGTCATGCTCACGCGGGCCAACTGAAGTGCATGTCCTGCCAGCACCAGCTGTCAGGGTTTCCCAAGTCAGCACTATCCCTAGACCCCTGAGTAATCCAGCTGCACTCAGCAAGGGTCACAACAAACACTGGGAAGGGGAAAGCCTGGAAGCGTCCAGACTCCGCATTAGCCCAGGGCAGGGGACCCGCAGAGTTCGCTTGGTGGACGGACAGCCGATGCTCCTGGTAAGGGAGTGGGAACCACACAGTGGTGGAACAGCACACTGTCAAATCCAAAACTGGGACGAGGGAGTGAAACCTGTACAACATTCCTACGACATGAAGAGCTAAATCGAAAATTAAATTTGAGAATTGGCTGGGGATTAGTGAAATTTCAATCCAGGTCCACTTTTCTTGAAGAGGTGCTGGGTGTTGCTGGTTTCAGAGATGGAGCTCCTGGTCAGATGCGGCTTTCCTAAAGAGCAAGAGTCCAGTGGCACCTTTTAAGTAGAACAAAGTATGTGGCAGAGTGTGAGCTTTCGTGAATCACCGCTCCCCTCTTCAGATGCTTTCCTAAAATTATATTTGAACTTCGCCTCCGTTTCGGCTCTCCTTGGGATGCTTTGGACTGGATTCCAAATCCCAAATGCTCTTCCTTCGACATCGAAGTTGGAGTCAAGATCCCTTTTTTGTTAACAAGCAGAACAGATTTCCATTGGAAGGAAACGTTCACTGTAGCAAGAAGTAAAGGACTAGGCTTCATTCCTTGTTTTTTTTGGAAGTAATAACTAATCAGCCTGTCTGCTCAAATGGAATTTTAGTTAGGAGTAAGATCAAAATTCTGCCCATTTGACTTTCTCCCCAGATTTTGGGGTTCCAAAGGGTGTCAATGCGAGTGTCAATTCCAAAATGAATTTCAGAAGTTCCTCAGGTTAAACTGGCAGGCAGATGACGATGTGATGTGTGAGGCCGAGTGAGCAGCTGAGGTTGCATTCGTTGGATTGCCAGCTCTGGGTCGGTGTATTCCTAGAGACCTGGAGGTAGAGCCTGGGGGAGGGCAGAGTTCGGAGACCGAAGGGAGCTCAGCAGAGATGTGATGCCGAGCAGAGGCTGCCTTCCGAAGCGGTCGTTTTTCTCTCCTTCATGCAACCTTATGCAAGATGGGAAGCTCATGGGTTGTCTTGTATAAAGTTCACACTGCAAGGGAAGGAGGTTTTGGTGTATCCCAGCTTGTGAGAACATGAATGCATAATACCATGTGCATGGGAGGGAGGGGTTTCTTGGTGTAGAGGGCCAGTTTGGTGTAGTGGTTAGGAGCCCAGACTCTAATCTGGTGTGACCTTGGGTCAGTCTCAAGGGCAGTTCTCAGAGAGCTCTCTCAGCCCCACCTACCTCATAGGGTGTCTGTTGTGGGGAGGGGAAGGGAAAGGAGATTGTAAGATGCTCTGAGACTCCAAGTGAAGGGTGGGATATAAATCCAATCTCCTCCTCCTTCTTCTGTTGGGGGCTGGATGGGAGGCCTGGAATTGACCCCTGGGCCTCCCATTGACTATTCTGTGCCAAGCGTGTTGAGCTTGGATATGGGAAACTGAGACTGAATAGCATGGGGCAAGTCCCTGTCTCTCATTTTAGCCTGTGAAGAAAGGTTAAAGTGCTTGGGGCTCTTTAGCTTGGAGAAACGACGGCTGAGGGGTGACATGATCGAGGGTTATAAGATTATGCATGGGATAGAGGAGGTAGAGAAAGAGATACTTTTCTCCCTTTCTCACAATACAAGAACTCATGGGCACTTCATGAAATTGCTGAGCGGTCGGATTAGAACAGATAAAAGGAAGTACTTCTTCACCCAAAGACTGATTAACATATGGAATTCACTGCCACAGGAGGTGGTGGCAGCTACAAGCATGGACGACTTCAAGAGGGAATTAGATAAGCATATGGAGCAGAGGTCCATCGGTGGCTATTAGCCACAAGGTATAGATAGGGACTCTGGGACAAGTGATGCTCTATCTTCTTGGTGCTTGGGGGGGTCAACAGTGGGAGGACTTCTAGTGTCCGGGCCCCACTGGTGGACCTCCTGATGGCACCTGGTATTTTTGGCCACTGTGTGACAGAGTATTGGACTGGATGGGCCATTGGCCTGATGCAACATTGGCTTCTCTGATGTTCTTATGTTCTCCCTCATAGGGTTATTATGACCTGAACTGCCACTCAGAACTCGTTGGCAAAATATAAATGATGAAAACAACCAAGAATCAAACTTACCACTAGAATATTTCAGTGTTCTGTGTCAGGCACACAGACTAATAGTTTGTGCATCATTGTCCTGGGGTCCCTCAAGTACATTTAAGGAGGAGAAAAGCCTAAGACTTCCCAACAATATACTATGTGGCTGTACAAAATGCAAATATGCACACACACACACAGAAGCAGAAACATTTTAAAAAGTGACTTTTTTGTTTTGCACGCTGCTGAATTAGGGCACATCTGCATGACAACTGGTGGGTCCCTCTTGCTGAAAACCCCGTTCTAATTTTGCTTCATTTATACCCTGCCTTTCAGCCCAATGAGAATCCAGTGTGGCCTACATCATCCTTCTCTCCTCCATTTCATCCTCACAATAACCCAGAGAGGTAGGTTAGGCAGAGAGTCTGTGACTGGCCGAAGGTCACCCAGCAAGCTTCCATGGCAGAGTGGGGATTCGAACCTGGGTGTCCCAGATCCTAGTCTGACGCTCTAACTACTACACTACACCAGCCCTCTTACCTTTCCTCCTCATTCCTCACCCCTTCTGGCATCTGCTGCATTAAAAGCCAGAAGCTAGTGTCTAACGGACTGCAAAGCCACGCTGGCCTCACGGTTGTCCCTGTGTGGACAGGCAGGGGACTTGGCACGGGCTTAAGCCACCTATGCATCTAGAATGCAGGAGCACCATGGATCTCCTGAACTGGCAGAAGACGTATGTGTCACTGAGGTATCAGCATCTTTCCTATAACAGTTTTAGATTAATAGATGTGGGTGAATTAATGAGTGTTGGAAACCAGGCAGCTAAGAGTGGAATGTTCAGCAAAGTCATTCCTCAATCCATGGCTAGGCTGACGGTCTCTCCCTGCTCCTTTTTGCCTTTTTTTTTTTGCTACAGGGAAGGTTGCTTCTCCCCGGTCAGTCCAGAGACATGTCTCCTGGTCCAGTCCTTCCTTTCCCCCAACAGAACACTGCTCCTGGAAGGACACGTGCAGCTGAAGACCGGCCTGCAGACCCAGGAACGGCACCTTTTCCTCTTCACAGACATCCTTGTGGTTGCCAAGGCCAAGTAAGTCCAGAGCTTTAAAACAATGCTCACCCTGTAATGTTGTGATGTGGACTGCCGTGCTTTCCCCCACAGCCAACATTTCTTGTCTTTCTTTTTTATTTATTTATTTATTTATTATTATTATTATTATTATGTGGGCGTGTGCTGTGAACAGTTATGTGGCTTACTCATTGAACCTTTTAGAGTTTTTACCACGGCACACTTGATGTGAACAGAGGAGCAGTGGCAGATGCTAAGAACAATGGGTTGTTGTGGGACTACTGCATAGAGGTGAATAGTGTCTCACCGCATTGGTGGCAGGAGTTTTGTGGCACCTTCGGGAACAGATTTTTATCTGAAGAAGCAAGCAGTAGTTCAGAAAAGCTTATTCTGGAACAAAATGTGATGATCTTGCAGAGCTAATAGCCCAGACTAGCCTGATATCAGAGCTCAAAAAGCTAAGCAGGGTTGGTACTCGGATGGGAGACCCCCAAGGAAGACTAGGGGTTGCTACACAGAGGCAGGCCATGGCAAACCATCTCTGCTCATCTTTTTCCTTGAAAGCACCATGAGTCAGTTGCAACTCGATAGCACATGCACACACACTCAAAGGTACTGTTTGGGGTTCTGTTTATGGTTGGTGCAGTACAGGGCTTTTTTTGTAGAAAAAGTCCAGCAGGAACTCATTAGCATAATAGGCCACACCCAGCAGCAGAAACTCATTAGCATATTAGGCCACGCCCCTGACTGCACCACTCATTAGCATATTAGGCCGCATTCCCATGTTACCAGAAGTGTGGTCATCCAGCCACACCCACCTTTTGCTTCTTATTCTGTTTACCTTGTTTGTTGTCAAAAACCAGGGCTCTTTTTGTAGCAGGAACTCCTTTGCATATTAGGCCACACACACCCTAATGTAGCCAATCCTAATGAGTTCCTGCTGTTGGGTGTGGCCTATTATGCTAATGAGTTCCTGCTGGGTGTGGCTAACTTGGGAGCCAGCCGGAACTCCGTTCCTGTGCGTTCCTGCCCAAAAATAGCCCTGGTGCAGTAGACTAAGGGTCAAACCACAGGAGACGTTTCTATCAAGTTGAATCTGGGGTTTCCTGGACATGCAACTCCAGAATGGGGGAAATAACTCCATTTTGGCTCAGGAAAATAACTCGGGGGGGGGGGGAGGCAGGAGAACCTCCTCCTCTCAAGCTGTGGTCCAGAGTTGAATCAAACCCCCAACAGACTTTAAAAACAATTTCCCCCTGCAGCTGTTATCTGGCTGCAAAGAGAACAAGATGGACACCAAGACCAGACTTAAAAGCCTTCTGTAATTTGGCCCTAAGTCTTAACACAGCTACCTCTCTGGAGTCATTGCAGTGGGAGTTTAGTTAATTTATTTAAGTGCAGCAATTTACAGAAGAAGAAAAAGGAGAAGGGCAAGCCTGCTTCCTCCAGGGAGCTCACAGTCTAAATTTCAGAGTCTTGCCACTCCTTAAAATACTAAAAAGTTTATTGTAGTATATGGTTTCTTGAGACAGAGCCCACTTCATTAGGTGTGTGAACTTTTGTAGTCAGTTGGCAGGAAGATGATATGACTAAAGGTGCAAGCAGCACGAAGGGTGAGGAGTTATTACAAAGAGAAAAAAGGCCCACTTTCCCCGTATGTAGCTGAGCACAGATGCATCACAGGGCACAGAGGAAATCAAAATCTATAGTAAATGTTTGAATCCGAGTGGGTATGGACCAGTCCCAGCTGTCGATGAGTTACCGAAGTCAGATGAATCTGAATAGCGTATATATATATAAATCTGTAAGGAAGAACAACCGCTCTCCTGGCTTTCTGCAAACTATGCAAAAATTAATTATTCAAGAGGGCTTTTCAGCACAGGTTGCACTGTGCAAAATTCCTTGACGAGAGACTGTGGTCTATACTGCTTTGTTTAGCTCATTGTACCTAGGATCCCATTTATGTAATTTCTGTACTGCTTAATGTGTCACATGCTATGCTTCAGTTCTTCAGCCTTCTAAAATCCTAATGCATTAGTAATTGAATGTCCCATTTTGTTGATTGTACTGACTCACTGTGTGTAATCCACCTTGAGAAAGGTGGACTATAAATGTCATAAATTAATACATCTGTAGTGAGCTAACCATCTCAGATCCTCACTGAGTCCAAATCTCATAGTTTCAAATCTACACATGAAGTCCAGTTCAGCACCTTCTTGCTGGAATTTCCCTCTGAATTCTGCTGAAGTTGTACAATTATGTCCAGCAGGAAGTTCCCTCAGTGTTTTCTGAATATGTTACATTTTCCTTGCATCCTCCCAAAGTCCACGACAAGGACTTTTGACCCAATGTGCCTTGCAAGCTCATTGCTCCCTTTAAGCTATGGAGTCCTGTGAGCAAAAATTCTACTTTGTGAGCTACTGGCATTAAAGTTGTGAACAAGTGATTTGGTTACTGCATTCTTAGTTTGCTCTGGAGCCATCCTTCCTGAGCTAAGGCAAAAATGTGTGAGCCAGAGGCTAAAAAACTGTGAGCTAGCTCACACTAACTCAGCTTAGAGGGAACACTGCTCGGAACTCACTTCCCAGGCACAGGGGAGCCCAATTTGGATCAAGACTCTGGCATATGGACAAGGGAGACTTAAGCCTCCTGTCCCCCGCTGCCAGTTTCCTGACCTGAAACAGCCTTGGGGAGCAGCTGTTTGTCCCACTGGGGAAACTTACATGTAACCATCCGTGCATGTAACTTTCACCTAAAGGCAAATAGCAGTCCTTGGGGCCATTTCAGGATGGGGGAGCAATTTGAATCGGACCACCACACGTCTGGGAATTGAGTCTCAAGCATGGAACTTGCAAGGCACTTCCAATCAAAAGTCCTCGTGGCGGAATTGGGGAGGATGCAAGGGAGATGTAACCTCTGGCTAGGGCCTTGGTGTTTCCATTGTTAGTGTCTGCTTTGTGCTCCATTTATTCTGTTGGGTAGAGACAGTCCAGTTTGCCCATGGTAAATGACAGGAGGATGTTGTGGGTGTATGTATGTGGTATTACGCATGTGTCAGGGGAAAGGAAAGAAAGCAAAAGTGAAGCTTGACTGGGATGAATGTGAGCAAGTGCGGCTACATGATTTTGGGCTTTGTCACTGTTGGGGGTGAAGAATGGGGTAAAATGTGGAAGTGGGAGATGTCATTGCCCTTTTGTCACAAGACTGGCGTCAAGGAACATGAAACTAGCATTTCCGATCTGTAAACTGTTGGAAACAAATAATATTCCGGCAGCTACCTGATAATTCCTGTTTCCGGCACCTGTTGTGACAAGGGGGAAATATTTGATTCTTGGAATAGGCTTTAGACTTGCTGACTTGCATTGGTGTCGGCAAGGGATAGGAATGTTTCCTTACTTCATTCCTCAGTGTCTGGGAGAACTGTGAAAGAGACCCCTTTATTTAAATAACATGCTCACAGTCACTTTTGAGCACTGTGTTCTGTGTGTCAGAGCAGGTTCTCATGTTTAAATTGCCGCTAGTAAAGGTAAAGGTTCCCTTGCTCGAAAGCCAGTCGAGTCTGACTCTAGGGTTGCGGTGCTCATCTCCGTTTCAAAGCCGAAGAGCCAGAGCTGTCCAAAGACGTTTCCGTCGTCATGTGGCCGGCATGACTAAACACCAAGGCGCACGGAAGGCTGTTACCTTCCCACCGAAGTCCTTTGCATGTTAGGCCACACACCCCTAACGTAGCCAATCCTAATGAGTTTCTGCTGTTGGGTGTGGCCTGTTATGCTAATGAGTTCCTGCTGGGCGTGGCCAACTTGGGAGCCAGCTGGAACTCCGTTCCTATGCGTTCCTGCCCAAAAATAGCCCTGGATACACCAATGAGGTGTGAAATGTTCTCTCTAAGAAGACTCTTCCTTGATGAACTCTCTTGCACATAAGGACAGAGTTCTTATTGTTGAATCTTTCAAAGATTTTGGATTTTTATTCAAGAAGTAACAAAGATTGTAACTTTTCCATGCGATTCAACTACAATTTTTCACATGTTCTATGTAATGCACTGTTTCTTTAAATATAAAATAAATTCGTAAGAATTGTTAATTAAGCAGGTTATCATGGTTTATTCTCTTTTGGTGCATGTGGTCCTGTGATTCTCTCTCTTTGTTTGTTCCATCACAGTCACTTTTGAGCATGTATTCTCCAAACCAGGTAGCATCCCTAAATCAAGGATTAATGATATATGGCCTTATACAGTTTTAACGTTTTTGCAATAGAAACTAGAGTTGCCAACTCTGGGTTCAGAAATACTTGGAGATCTGAGGGGGAAGCCTGGGAGAGAGGGGTTTAGGGAGGGGGTGGACCTCGGTAGGGTGTAATGCCATGCAGTCGACCAAAGCAGCCGTTTTCGCCAGGAGAAGTGGAACAGATCTTTTAAACAAACAAATAAATAAGCATTTTATATAGTCTGGAGATCAGTTGTAAATCCAGGCAATCTCCAGCTCCCACCTGGGGGTTGGCAATCGTAAGTAAAGTCATCTGATGATTATAGAACGTGAGAATCTGTCACATACTCAAGATGTGTAACCAATGCATGTTCATAGGCATTTCCAGGGATTCAGGAAACTATAAATCGATGTCTTAGGTTCAACACAATGTGACTTTGGTTAAGAGGTTAGAAACTGGCTGCCCGAGTAGACCCATCCATTTATTTGTCCTCTATCACAAATTTCCCTTTCCTGACTTAGCAGTGGTTACCCATTGTTTGGGCACCAACATGAATGAAAACATATGAATGCTGTTGGCTGTTCCTTTTCACCACTTACCAGGGCTTTTAGGCAGAATCCAAAGCCAGTTAAAAATTCTGATTTAACCAGGGACCAGTTTAGCCTTCAGCACTAACATGAAACTGGGTTAAAAAACACTTCTGCCGTGGGTTAAAATGGGAAGGGGATTCCGATCGGGGGGGGGGAGAGGCATGCTGAGCCCTCACTTCTGTTCTACCTTTCCCGACATAAGATTGTGTGTATGATGACATCACC